GTTTGAATATTAAGAAAACTGAAAAAAAACTGAAAAAAATCAAAATAAGACATAGTAAACATACAAACTTATGAAGTTTCCGTAAAAACTAATCAAATTGGAACAAAACCAAGGCTTTAAAAAGTTACAAAAACCAACCCTTGCAAATAAAAAACTGGCAATTATAACCGGTGGAAATTGAACCGACAGAAACTAGAACGAAGACCAGACACCCAAAAAAAATTGAGAATTTTTTGAAAAAGATAATTACAAGATGAAACGGGCTTGAACTATTTACTAAATAAGTGCTAGTATTTTTATTTGAAATTTCAAGAATCTCAAGAAGTGGAGAGATCCTATGGAAATAATCCTCTAGATCCTGTGGGCAAAGTTGTTTACGGGAAAAAAACTATGGTAGCCGGTTACAATACCCTTGCTTATCGCAGGGTAAAGATCTCGAGTTTTGGTTGACGGATCTTAAGTTTTTCTAAAGGCACTTACTAATGTATACTAAATTTGTGGGGGATCGAGATTTTTGGTCGATGTTTAAAAAAAAGCCTATTACGAATTTTTCGACCTGTTTTTTAAAAAAATTGGTCAAATTAGGGTCTTTATAGTGATTTGTGAGAGCTCGGAAAAACAATTTGGTCGATTTGAAAAAAAGTCGATAGTTTCAATTTTGGACTCTGAAAAAAAAACAAGATCCGGTGTGGTAACTAAGCCGACAATGCATAAGCTGAAAAATTACGACAACCAATTTTTCCCAGAGAAAACTTCAATTTCAGACACTGATCAAAAAACGAAAACCGGTCGGGATGCGAACCCCTGACACAAGGTTTCAAAGGCAACTGCATTACCACCATACCAAGTACGATGGAATAACAGCTGACTCTTGATTTCACATTAACCAAAGGTAAAATTATTCAAGTGAGTTTGTTAAGCTATTCAACACTAAACGCTCATTGGGCCGAAAACATAACCATGTCAAAAAATTGTTGTCAAAAACTTTTCAAACGATTAATTTTTCTTAATTTCAAAAGTTTGCAAAAGAAATTATCTGAAATTTAAAAAAAAATCATTTTTTGTTCGCCATTGAAGCGACACAAGTTAGTGTAAATAAGCTGATAAAATATAAGTCGAAAAAATTTAGGCCGAAAAAAGTTTTTATGAGAAAAAGAAAACAAAAAATAAAAACCAAGGAAAACATACAGGGTCAGGGCTGTTATTCCACAAATTACAGGAGTACATTAAAACATAATAAGAGCGAAGAATAGACAAAAAGTTCCATTTTTCACGGATAAAATGTTTCAAATTTATAAATTCTTTAGGGTAAAACGGAAACCACATTACCTCTCGGCCAAGTGAGAAAGAGCGAAGTTGCTAAGGTTGATTTAAGCGGCAACTTCACAATTTTTCACTGTCTTACGTGTTACCTTTTGTCTTACCTGTAAGAAAAAATCTTTACGCTGAAAAAGCCTAATTCACGATTACTAGACACTTGCTCTCCCAAGTGTAATGAAACAAGTCGTGAAAAAAAGCCTGGACAATAAATTCCAAAACCAGCATCAGACCACAACTTACAAAGCGGTAACCAAACTAAAAATACCTGATCAGAAACTCGTGCACAAAAACAGCTTCGACCAGACTCGCTATTTAACGCAGCGGCGAAGCAGAGCTTCGGAACACTTTCGATTGAAACATTAATGACCCTAACTAGTTGCATGTGAACGGACAAATCGGAAAAAATTTATTTAAAAAAAATTTAATTTACAAAGAATCGCTTTCCATTTAGTAAAAAAAAATTGTATAAGTCCGACCTATGCGAAAACTTTTTATAAAACGAACGTTACTCGATCTCATTTCTCGCGCAAAATAAGACTAGACTCAAAAAATTCAATTTTACAAGTTTTTTTTTACTTTGGAATAATTTTTTGAAAGTTTTCTAAGATTGTTTGAATCACAATTAAAAGGTCTTTATGATATATCACTCAACCTATTCCATTGATTGTTATAGTACTTGATTTTGCATAGAAAATAAAAAAAACTGAAAAGCACACGATTACCAATTTTCTCCCCACATTAAGTGGTCGGAACAATCTGAACATGCATACATTTTTTACACATTATTGAAACTTTTTAGAGTAGTTCAAATCACAACTGAAAGAGCATTAATGATATATCACAAAACTCTCTCCGATGATTATTTGTGGTAGCTGATTTGCATGGAAAACAAAGAAGAATAAAAACACACCCAAATGTTGAGCTAAAATCAATCTGAAACAAGAACAAGTTCGCAGAGAAGACAGGAATGTGCCCTTCGTTTGGAGAAAAAAGGCAGTCGAAACTGATCCCAATTCTGCTGAAGCAAATAAATTGATGGGTTTGTCCTTGTTACTTGTTCTAAAAACTTCATTACCATTGGATCGAAGATTCAAGTTAGGTACAATCATGAAGTAACTGGAAAAAGGAGTGAAAATTGACGACAGCGACTGGGACACACATTTATATTTAGGGTCACACCTATCTTTGCTTTCATCGATTGGCTAATTATGACATGGTTTTGGAGCATCTACTGAAAACTGAAACGTTTTAACAAAGAACCAGATCAATCAAGTCTATTTCCATATGAGATATACATTGAAACCCAAAATGTGATAAGTTTTGAGCTTATTTTTAGATGTAGGTGATGCATCATTTTTTTTTAAATTTTGTTTTCCATTTTTATACTAAAAATTGCTCTGTTTCCAGACAAATATTGTTTCTAAAGCCTTCTAACTATCAAAACCAACTCAAATCTTTGGTAACTCAAATTTTTCTGCGAAAAAGAAAATTCTTCGCTTGTTTTCAGCTGATTTTCAGCTGGGAAGCAAAGCATCAAAGAAATGTTCTGTCTCCAGGCAAATTTAGCTGCTCAAGCCATTATAACTTCCAATGCTAACCCTGTAAAGCTGAAATTCTATTTTTTTGAAAGAAAAATGCGCGCTTACGTGGTTTCTACGACACGTAACAAAACTTTGAAAACGAAACTTTGAAAATTTGTAAACATGAACTTTAGTTCAAATATCGATGAGATATTGATGTTTCATTGATGTCACACCAATGTATCTAAACATTTAAAAAATAGATGTCACTTTGATGTTTCATTGGTGTCACTTGAATGTTTTTTCATAATAAGTAAAAGAATGAACATAGTTAAAACAGAGTAAGTCTATGTGTTTGTGCTCGTACATCCCTAAAACATGTCAAAACAATGCAGCAACATTGATACTTTTCTGAGTTGCAATGCAACTTCAGCACGGGCATGCCTCAATCCAATGGTTTAGAGGATTTCAATAAAAAATTTGAAAATTTAGTCGACGCTTTTTAGAGCTATCCCATGTTTTTTTTTTGAAGAAAAAAAAAACAGGCCAAAAAAGGCATTTTCAGGCAATTTTTGAAAAATTTTGATCTGAAAATTGCGTTTTTTTGCCGCGCGCTTCCCCTCCAAAGTTGATTTCCTTTGGCGCCAAAAGCGGCCTAAGACAAATTTTAGGGTCCGTCATCAAAGATGGATATTTCAAAATAGTACAAAGGGGGATCCTTTGGGTCGGCAGGGAGTCGATTATCCCTGATGAGGGGGTCGATTAATAGCATGGAATATATCGTGCATTAATTGTCTCGAATTGACCAAATTGGCAATCTCTAAACCCCCTTAACTTAACAAAAAATAATCAGAGTTGAAATATCTTTTTGAAATTTGAGCTCACGGCGACAATACTTTTTTAATGACCTTTAAAATTACGTCAAAATTTGCTAGTAAAAAATTCAATTTTGTCTGGAGAAACAACTATCCCGAGCACAAATGTTCCGTCATTTTCTTCGAAAATAGTTGGAACAAAAAGGTATCAATATGTCAAAATGAAACTGGTTAAAACATAAATTTTTCAAATATTTCAGCTTCAAACAAGCTTATTCTTCTATTTTTGCCATTTCACCCACAAAACTAACAAAGATTGCTCGTATCGGGGCGGAGCCCTGAATGTTCTGACTGACTTTTAAGGTCTATGGAGCAGTGATAACGCGAAAAAATTAGATGTAGAAAAAAAATTAAATGATTTTTTTTTCAAATTTGAGATATTTTGTGAAAATCAACCCCCCACACGCCATATAAAGAACAAAGTGATAAATTTTACTCCTAGTAACAAATCAATTATGGCAAGCAAATTTCTTTCAACCAAATTGGAACGATTTATACGACGGATTAACTCTCCGCTTACGCGTTATTAGCGCAAATTAGATCGCGCGTTAATGGTCCCAAATTGACCAAAATGGCAATCTTTAAACCCCCATAACTTTACGAAAAATGATCACAGGTGAAATGTCCTTTAAATTTTAAGCTCAGGACAACAATACCTTTTGAATGATTTTAAAAGCTTTGTCAAATATTGCTAGTTCAAAAGTCGGAGTTCGTCTGAACACAAATTTTCCGGAACTTTCGTTACGAAATTCGGAACAGTAAACATGATGTCAAGTTTTAATTGAAGCTTTTTATGCATCTTTCCAAATTGATTCAACGCTCAAAATATCAGCCTTAGCTGCATTTGTAACTAAATTGATCCAATTTTGGCTATTTCATCGATTCAATTTCATTTTAAAATTTATCATTTTTAGGGCGTATAATCGAAAAGATCTATAATGGGAGATGCTTCTGGTCATTATCTTTTTACATTTTTGATCAAACTCTGAAATTTAAAAAAAAACGCGGGTAAAAAGTCATGAAGAAGTTAAAAGTACTTCACAAGAGGTTAAAATGTTCAAACTAAATCTTTAAACATGCTGTTTTTTCTTCACTGAACTTAGAACTACGCTTGGTCGCAAAGTTTACTCTATCATGCATTTTTAAAGGTTAAGTTATAGCAAACTCAAACCAGAAAAAATTTTATATTAAAAAAGTATTGTTGAGAGCCTTCGTTTTTGCTCAAATGCACGCAAATTTTTTATTTTCTTTTTTATATAATTTGTTTGAATTGTTGAGCGTTAAACTGGTTGAATAGAAAAAGCATTTGAGAGTTACGGCCGCTGGTTTGAAAAGATAATAACATTTGAAGTGTCCGGGTGTTTGACAGAAAATGCCCTCGTTTGTTGGTAAAAATGGCCAACCATCTGCGTCAAAAGACACGCCGACCAAAACCGCCTTCGTTAATTCTGTTGAGAGTTAAAGCCAGAAAGAGAAAATCATTCGCTTCTGATACTCTCTCAATAAACAGTTGATAACCCGAGTAAAAAATAAACAAACAATCGAATCCGAAATGAGACTGTTGATCACTTTCTCGATTCTCGTCGTCATTCTGGCTGTTGCCGAATGTAAGTTGATTGTTCTTATTTTTAAAAAAAAGAATTCGCAGCCTGCTGCAAATCTTCAAAGTTGAATAACATCATCCCTGTCTTTTTTTGGCAAAACTAGACTGGTCGTATCAGGGCAACGCCACGAATATTCCGACCCCCTTTAGGGTCTAAGAAAGAGGTTTAACAGTTCTAAAAAGACATACAAAGAGAGACTTAAGGTCCAAAAAAGAGTTTGGTTTCATTTATGGCAGAGGCGGATCTAGGATTTTCTCGAGGGGGGAGAGGGATTTTCAAAAATTTTTTGAAAATTTTGACGACCTTTTTTTTTGGTCGACCAAACTGATATTTCCAGCTCTCCCAAAGTCCTGGTTTGGCCACGTTTTCTACGCCGCAGGCAAAATTCGAAAAAACAGACCAAAAAGGCTTTTAAAGCACTTTTTGGAAAATTTTGACTGAAAAGTTGCGTTTTTTTTCGGCGCGTGCTCGCCACTCAAAATTATCATATTTTGGCACCAAAGGCGCCTTTAGAAAAAATTTACGCTACCTCACCAAAAATGGATATTTCAAAATAGTACAAAGGGGGACCCTTTGGGTCGGCAGGCGGTCGAATCCCTGAGGGGGGGGAAGGCGTCCATCCCCCCGTCCCCCTTTCTAAATCCGCCCATGATTTAAGGTCAAAGAAAGTTGATTTTTTTTTCAATTTTATTTTAAAAAATTTGCAGCCTGCTGTTGATCTTCAGCCTTGGAAAATATTATGATAAAAGTTCTTTTGGCAAACAAGGAACAGCGAGCTGTTTTTCCGCAGCATTTTTCTTTAAAAAGGGAAAAATGCAGTTTTAAAAAGGGAAAAATTCAGGTCATTCTGTATAACATGAATTGGAAAAATACGAACAGAAAAAAACTCTAAAATTGAGGCTCCTTTTCGTTCTACAAAGCTGAAATTTTGACAGTTGTAAATTGATATCTACTGTTTATTTAATGAACATCGTTTACTGATAGTTTATTTGACATGTAGGTAGATCGCGTCTACCGAGCACACGACAGGTGAAACCACTCGGCCGACGATTCTCTCCCGACATCAGAGCGACGTCCTTGAAAAGGGGAGATGCGGCTGATCCACCCCCCGCAACCCCCTCAACTGCTGAGTTGGTCGCTTTCCTCAACCAAATGGGAGATCTCTATATAGTCAGATGGGCTTGTGGTGAGCAAACCCACCTGCCAGTTATTTTTTTCGTCACTTACTTAAAAATGAAAAAGAAAAAATTGTTCGATCAATCCAGGTAAGACAAGCTAAAATGAGGCTAAAAAGTTTTGCTCAAATGGCGTTTTGTTACAAACAAAAGTGCAACATTTAAAAAGAGTAGTTTTAACCAAAGCTTAACTTTTTTAGCCAAGCGTCAAAAAAACTTCTATGAATTCTAATTCCGATACAAACAGACAGTTCCTCGATAAAAGTCCAAGTTTGCAAAAAAATAAGCAAAAATTATCTGAATTTTGACTCACATTGTCAAAATTTGAACTCAATAAATTGTGTAATTGAATACGAAGTTTAATTATGCAATAGCATTTAAAAGAAATCGTTCGTTTTCAGGTCTGTTTGACGGTGTTTCTTCGACAAAAAAGACTGAGAATGATGTCCCTGCTGGCATGAATGAGAAGCGAGGAGCCACCGATGCGCCCAAGTACGACTTGGCTACAGTATCTCAATATGCAACGGACGAACTCAATACAATCATCTATGGCGGCTACTGCGATTGGGCAAAGTTCTGCCAGAGACTGCCAGATGAATGCTAAGGTGTTCCACGAAGTCTGCTCTTTCCAGCTAAACAAAAAGTTTAGAACTTCGAATGAACTTCGAAAAAAAAACTTGAAAAAAAGAGTTATTTAGAGTTTTTGTGACTTGCTGTGAACGTGAAAATTGAGTGTTGTCAGTCCCGTTATGTAAAAATACATAATACTGCGTCAAGAAAAGTAAATAACCTGCGGAAAATAAATATTTGATAAGTTTTGTTTTCCAATCAGCATTTTTTGTACCGCTCTTGTCCTTCGGCCGGTGAATAAAAAAAACGCTTTCGACCAGAACTATTTTTTGGTTCAATTTTTTTGAAAAAAATTATCCAGCACCAGTATCAGTTTTTTAGCGGTGCTTTCATGTAAAAAAGATGAAAATGGCAGACTCTGAAGTTTCCATTTGAATACTCCATTTTGAATATTCTCTTAAGTTTTCGACATGGTTTGAATTCATCGCTACAAAGTAAGGCCCAGTCGCAGAGGGAAGAAAGTTTGGCTATCTAGGTGAAGCAAAGATTGCTGGTTGGCAGTTATCCACAGTCCCCGGAATGACACAAAATGTTAGTCATACAATTTCGATGCAATATCCCATCCGAGTCGAGGTCCCAGACTCATGTCCAGACTTTAAGGGTCGCGCCATATCCGGATTTAGACCTGAATTGCATAGTCGCGCCGAGAGTTTGAGTCTGGAAAGTCTGGAGATGAGTCGCGCCGTGGGCCGCGAAAATCTGGACATACCAAGTTTAGAACTTCGAATGAACTTCGAAAAAAAACTTGAATGAAAGAGTTATTTAGATTTTTTGTGACTTGCTGTGAACGGGAAAATTGAGTGTTATCGCAAAAGTCTGGACATGTCGCGAAAGTCTGGGAATGGTTCGCGAAAGTCTGTGTCCAGACTTTTGCGACCCATGTCTAGACTTTCGCGACCAAGTTTTAGTATGTCCAGACTTTTGCGACCCATGTCCAGCCGTTGTGTTTTGAGTCGCGCCGTTTCCTGAGTCACGCCGTATCCACCAGGGTCGCGAAAGTCGCACCGTCTCCAACTCAGTCGAGAAAGCTTTGAAAATTTTTTTTTAAAGTCGCGCCATCTTCATGTTGGTCTGGAAAGTCGAGTTGTCTCCATCTAGGTCTGAAAAATCTGGAAATGGCTAAGTTTGGTCGCGCCGGTCACGTCGTTTCCTGAGCCACAGGGTCGCGCCGTATCCGCCTCGGTCGCGAAAGTCGCGCCTTAGTTTTTCGGTCGCGAAAGTCTGGAAATGGCAACTTTTGGACCAAATATGAGTCGCTATGTTTTGGTCGCGCCACCTCCGCTTCGGTCGCAATAGACGCGACGGATTATCTTGGTCGCAAAAGTCCGGAAATGCCAGGTTTTGGTCGCCAAACTCTGGACATGCCTAATTTTGGTCTGGAAAGTCTGGACATAACAAAATTTTGCCGCGAAAGTCTGGACATGAGTCTGGGGCCTCGACCCGGGCAGACAACTCATACGTTTGAAAATGTGTTTAAAAACTCTAGAGCTAGGATTTTTTTCCATACTATGGACCCGTATGACTAGCATTTTACCATAATTAAACTATGGCCACAACTTGGATTTGTATCGCTAGCATTTTTTGCGAAATGGAAACATGCGTTTTTCAAATCCTTAAAAAAATGTACACACCAGTAATCATGCAATCTCCAAACTGAAAGGAAAAACTTGAGAAAACTTGAGAGATTTGTGTTTTCTGCAGGAAATTTTTCACAACTCAGGAGAAAGCTGTGTCCTAGTCTTTTTGAGATAATAGGAAATTTATTGGTATACTTAACACACTAAAATTTAAAAAAGTAATAAACAAAATGTAGATGAAGGCCAGACTACTTCTATCATTAGCTGATCCAGTCACTTACTGTTTTGCCAACGATCAAGGTGCTTTTTGGTATTTTTGATATTTGTATACTTTATGATCTTTTTGCAGGTTGAGAAAGTGTCCTAAATGGTTTCGAACTTATTTCGAGTTACAATGGTGGTAACTTTTTCCCGGAGTTGCCGTTGAATGCCAGTATATGCTTCGTGTTTAGTTTGGTGTAGTTCTGCAGACCAGAAGGTTGTGTTGCAGGAAAAAAAAAAGCGTGTTTCTTTTTTTTTTGCATTTTTAAATACCTGAGAATATTTCGGAACTCATAGGTTGATTTACAACCTAAGCAACCCCTCATAATTGCTGATATCTTACAACTCTCTTAATTACGGGTTCTCCTCCTAATTTAGTAAGTTTCCAGATCTATAAATATTTGTTTGTCATCCTTTTTTGTCTTCCCGGAAACACAACGCTCGCAGGGCTAGATTTCAGGTCTTCTATTGTTCCTTATTTATATTAATGATCTTCCTAGCGGGTGTGAAAACACTGAGGGTTTTCCTTTGCAGAGGATAAAGCTGGGATGCACAGCTTCAGAAGTTCAAATGACTTAAGTGAAATAGGTGATTGGATAAATGCTAACAAACTTGGCATAAAAATAGACAAATTAATGCAGTTTAAATTAAGATTAATTGCTTTCTGTGTGTTACAATCCTTTTCTATCAATCATGAAGACGTTTAAACTGAATATTGTGCAAATATATAGGATTTATACTAGACACCAAATTATCTTTTACAAAATCAGCTTTCCTTCGAAAAAAAACTAGCAATATAAAATTGAATTGTTTGTAAATTACAAATTTTTTGCAAAGATCAACTCATCTCTTAAAAATCCTAAGCTAAAACAATGTTGCATTACGGTGTTGTGTAAATGGTTCTTGTGTTTACTCTGACCCACGAGATATTTTCGCAAAATAGCAAGTTTTGTCAGTCTGTTTTCTCGTTTTTACAAAATACCAAATCTGTGCTGAACACGAATAAAAAAAATTCCTTCGGAAAGTTAGCCACTCTGGACAGACTCTAAGATAAATTAAAGAGCTACTTTTAATACCTCCTTTAAAGACAAACGGCAAAAAAAAACTGTCCGTTCAAGAGCTATTAAGCTGTATAATACTCCCAAAGTAACTGAATTTATACTGCTAGTCTCGTCGAGCAAACTACATATAAAATAACATGAATTTTTTTCCAGCTTTTTCAAATCCTTCGTTTTTTTAAAACTTAATGAAAATAGATTTAGCCAAATCCCCATGTTTGGTTCAGGAAATTCCACAAAGTATGGAAAATCAAAACAATTTTATTAAATCTATAATACCAGAGAACTGCTCATAAATCAATTTTAGCTTGATCTTCTTTGATTGTTTTGTTATCAATTGTGTCAATTGACTTTTAGTGAGTTGTTTTTATTCCAATTTTGAAAGAAATTTAGAAAATCTAGAAAGAGATAGATAGCGTATCAGGTAGAATGTCCATTAAAATCTTTTATTTTTGAAATCGACAAGTTTTTGTTGCACTTGACTAGTTACAGGACCCCCTTCGTTTCCTAGTACGACAAATAGTTTCTTGGAATCATTGGAAACAAAATTTAAGGTTAATTTTAACGTTTGAAGTTTTTCGATTTTTCTTTTTCGTCCCAAAAAAAATTCACAAGTCATTTCTCACACAAGTCAATTCACGAGACATTTTCTCTCTCTCCAATGGCTTGCCCTAACATAGGAAAACAGAAATTGTCTTCCTTACCAAGCGTCTATCTTTATCAGATAAAAAATTATCGGTTTCAGAATCTTGGATTAGTCAAAACCTTACTTTTAGAAAAACAAGAAAACTTCAAAAATATTTTTTTTTCAAAAAAATCAGCAAAATCTTTCATTCCAATTTGAAAATTTTGACGCTCTGAAATTATGGTTTTACGCAAATCAACCGGTTCGCTTCTGTTAGCTTATAAAAATTTTTTTATTTATCTTGTTCAAAAAAGCAAAACCGAAAAATGAAAATTTACCATTTTTCCGGGAGGCCAACGGAAATTAAAAAATTTCAATTTTCATCTCGGTTCACGATTTAAACACCCAAGGAAAAAATCACTCACTTTCCAAAAAACATCTCTAGAGCTTCTCAAAAGTATTTCAATGTGTTTTAACTCTTGTCTAACTGAATGGAAGCTTTATTGGACAGTTTGAGACAAAAAATCGGAGTTTTTTTTTCTAATTTTTTAATTTGTTTTCACCTTTTTGATTTTTTCAAATTTTCACATAAATTTTTTTAAAAAATTTTTACATCTCAGCTTACGAACGAAATAAAACATTGGTTAGGCTACTGGCTTGCCCTAGCATAGGAGAACAGAAAAGGCCCGCTTAAACAATTGTGTATCTTAATCACATTAAAAGTTATCGGGTTTGGAGCCTCGAGTTAGTCAAAATCTTACTTTCAGAAAAATATGAAAATGTTAAAAATCTAATATACTTTTACTCTTTTCAATTTTTGACATGGCATTCTTACAAAATTTTTTTGTCTCATACTACGCAACAACTGAAAAAAAAGTTAGGCTATTGGCTCTCCCTACAAGAGGAGAACCAAAAAGGTGCCGTTAGTCGAGCTTATATCTTGTTCACAAGATATTAGGCTCACTGTATATAAACCATTTCCAGCAGCCCTGATATTGCCCTTTTCCTCCTGCATTTGACGGCGATAGTTAGGAACGTTTCGCAAAAATAGCTAGGCTATTGTCTCTTCGTGCCATAGGAGAACCAAAAAGGTTCCGTTAGTCGAGCTTCTATCTTGATCATTTAGACAAATTTTGATCACAAATTTAGTTCAGACATAACCTGAGATTTTGCTTGCCGATTTTTGATTTTCTCTTTCTATTCGTTATTGTTTTTTGTATAATAAACCTAATTAAAACAAAAGAGTAACTGTATGAAAAAATTGGTTCAGGGGAATACCAACTGCTACCATAATAAGATCCCAACTGATCACAAAACTAATAATAATGGAAAACGAGCTAATAAGTATCATCTCACGTTATTTTCCGTTTGAAGATCTCAATTCAAAATGAGATTACTCTCAGTTTATATTGACAGATCAAGTTCAAGTTCAAGTTCATCTATCAGCCTACACTTTATCGGAAAATTCTAAGAAATCATCAGCGAATCTTCATTTTTTCTTTCTCACTCAATTAGTTTTTCTTAATGCTCATATCATAAAAGCTCATTCTTAAGGTAAGAGTGTGACTTCATACAATGTGGTTTCTTTCAAAGGTGGGCTTTGGCCCTCCGACAAGCTCAAGTTCGAAATGTATAGTCA